ATCTTACTTTTATGTTTTTTAATTATTACACTGGTATAGTAAACTACCTTAGACTATCCCACCCTTCCCTACCCCTATCCTACCCTAATTGGTAGCGGTATGCATCCATCCATCCATCCATATCCAAAGTGGATACTAGACGACAAGTATCCATGTTGTTGATAAACATCTAAGCTGTGCTAAAATACATTATTTTTAAATCACATATATATTAAATGGGATTCAATTCTTATAATGTCTTTTGCAATCTGACAAGATCCTGCAAAATTGCATCAGATCACATAATTTAAACTTTTTGGACAAATTAGATAATTCTGTCCGCAATGTAAGCCAGTCTACAATCAGTAAGTGCAGTGCAGGGATCTAGTATGAGTGTATTACACATAGATTCGATCGTTACGGTAATCGCGTTCGGTGTTGTGATTGGCCCGCACTGAACTCTTGACCAGTCTTAACGACGATCGCGGTCGCCGTGAAGAGCGAGTTGATATAACATATACTCACACTGGGCCCGCTGAAGTATATATATATTATGTTAGCAGTATTATGTTGAGTTTGTTAGCTACGGTATTCTTAATTCTGGTTGTACTTAATGTACTTAATATTGTATTGTTTGTAATGTTTATGTTCCAATAAATATGAAGGTTTACTGTCCGTGAATATTGTTTTCTTTAACCTTCCAGTGTTGCCAAGTTGATTAATTTTCCCTGGATTTTAGGTGCAAAATGGTGGACGGGATTTTTTTTTTTTTTTCTGAAATGAAGTTTTTTTTACTAACTGGTGATAGCGACGTACTGGTAGTCTATTCTTTTTCCAAGTTTTGGCAATCTCTGCACGCATATGTCCCTAAACTATCGCAAAATTTGATAAATGATTGTTTTTACGTCACATACTACAATATTGGCTTTTGTTTACATAATTTACTCATGTCCAATACAGCGATTAGACATTTAAATGTCGAAAGTCCCAGGAAGCAAACTAATCGAAAATGCTGCCTCACTGAAAAAATTGAAATTAAAAATACATGTTTTAAATACCGGAAACCATAACAGTTCTGGGTGAAGTAAGTTCTGTATGACTATGTGGGCATGTATTTACTTTCACGCAACGCAGGTAAGTTGTTAACAGTGAAAGAAAGAAAAAAAGTCATTTATTTTGTCATACACTGAGACATCAACGAAGGACGTGTTAAAAATTGCGTGAACAAATTGATATCACGCTTTAAAAAACCGGACAAGTGCGAGTCGGACTCGCCAACCGATTGTTCCGTACAGATTTGTAGGTACTTTTTTCCATTCGTCCTAAATCGAAAACTTTACATCATAAAAATAATTAAACATCTGTTAAAGGTTGTGCCAATGAAGCCCTTTCATACGGTACTCCACATGACACGGTTAATTCAATTCAAAATTTGGTTCCTTGCATAAATAACCTGTTTTTTCATGATTTCATTACAAATGTATAGTTTTCAGATTTTGACTTAAACTTGTAGTAAAAGACGGAAAATACCCTATACATTTTGATATCCTTGAGAGTATCGAAATATGCGTTTTTTGCAGCATACACGGTCGTATCTGTTTCTTACGTTAACTTGCAGTTTGATTTTTTCACAGCTTCAAGAGTCTGTGGACCTGAGTATATCGTTTTAATTGCAACTCGATACAGATAGACAGACGGACGGACGGACAACAAAGTGATTCTATAAGGATTCTCTTTATTCCTTTTGAGGTAGTGAATCCTAAGAAAAACTACAAAAAAATAGCAAAATTCTCAAAAAATACACACAATGGTTAGATGAGCGATCAGTGCAATGATTTTAAGTATATATATATGCGTGCTATCAAATAGTTATTCTAATTTGTACCTTATTAGTTAAAAAATTATGCATAAATTACAATAGAAAGCTTGCTATGTCGACCACGTTTTAATAGTAGAATGAACTCTCTACCATGGTCTCAAATAAAGTGGCTAATTTAGTTACACATCAACAGCCTTTAATAGTCCATTGCTGGACAGGCGTCTCCTTAGAAAGGAGGTTTTGGCCTACTATACCACGCTGGCCAGACGGGTTGGTATAGGGTTTGTGTCAAGTTTTCCTTCTCTCTGTAGTGCTGTTGTCCTGCGTAGTTTGCTCCCTTAGTCGGCTTTTACGACACTCACGGGATGAATAGGGGTTGTGACACTCTGTACTCTAAATCCGTCACCACAAGGACAATTAAAACACCTGTCCTTTTATTTTTCTCTTTTTACAATACTATTTCTTGACTTATCTTTGTGGCAGACTTAGCATACTCCGACATGACTTATCTAATTGAAAAAAAAAAACGTTAGAATTACTTAGCAGCGGTTTTCTGCGAGGCCGTGGCGTCACTCCGATCGAGCCGGCGCAAACACGTCGAAGCTTGGATCTCTCGCTCTCTCTCTCTTTTAAAGTAAAAATTAAAAGGAAACTTACCATTTATTTTCAAACATTTGTTTCTTCATTAGTTACTATAGAAATAATATAAGAAATAGAGCACGCAAGGGAAGCATCACTGACTCTCACGGTGTCTCTTTTGTCTATTAAGAAAGAGACAAAGGGTGTGTCGCCCTTTGTCTCTTTCTTAATAGGCTAGTCGACTCAATTTGAAAACTTGGTTAAATATATAGTTTAATGTCTATTTTATCCTAAAAAACTTATATTTTAAAGAAAAAGCAAAATTTACATTACGTATTTTGTATTTAAAAAAACCATTTAAATTTCTGAATAGTGTCATGGCGTCTAAAATGACGTCACGGTCCGTGAAACAAAACTGTTTACATATGTGTCCAGTGTCAACTGAAATTGTATTAAGGTGAGAAAATATACTAAAAACGAAAAGCAATATGGCGTAACCTGAGGGCCTAGTGCGAGTTTATTTTACTTCTACTCGATCGTCACGGTGACCGCGTTCGGCGCTGTGATTGGTGGAGATTTCAGCGCGGGCCAATCGTAGCGCCGAAAGCGGTCACCGTGACGATCGAGTAGAAGTGAAATAAACTCGCACTTGGCCCTCTGCTCTGTTGTATGAAAACGTCAACAAGAACACTTTCTAATTGGTGTTCGCTGTCACGTGACTTAATGACTATTTTGTTCGAATTTATTTGTTAAAAATATTAATAATCTTTAACTTTTATGAGAAATAGACTGGTTTTTTCTTATCTATGTATTTTCATTTATAATTTGAAACTATAAACCAATCAATTTGTTATTAATGGACACACATGCGTAGTCACGGTAATCATAACACGATGGTCATGCACGAGAGAGAGAGAGAGAGAGAGAGATTGCCTCTGCGTCTAGCGATTTCTCTCGAACCGTGGGACACCTCAAAGCATTGGGTTAGGTGGGATTGGCGTGCTCTATTCTTATATCCCTATCTTAGTTACATAACTTCGCGCAGCGCACTTCACATCGTTTATAATTGCTAACTTCACATGTTACTACTAGCGCCATTATTGTGGTTTGTTCTTGTATTATTATTTACTGTTTTCAGCTGAGTATTATATCTAAACCACATCTGAACCTATTTCGACAATTATTTTCCTAATTGAATTGGTTGTAGTCAAAGTTGAAGAAAATACACTACATCGTAAGGTGGTGATAATTAAAGGGTGAATCAGTTTATTAAAATTTATTTTGAATTAGACGCCATGAATAATGGAACTTGATAAAGAGTTGTATGTAACTTTTAATTTCAGATTATTTCGCGACCGAATCCACTTATCTCTTTTTTTGAATTTGATGACTGCAAAACTCAAGATTGGTTATCATTATCATCTTCTTTAATAGACCACTGCTGGACATAGGCCTCGCCTTAGAAAGAAGGTTTTGGCCTACTATACCACGCTGGCCAGACGGGTTGGTACAGGGTTTGTTTCAAATTTTCCTTCTCTTTGCAGTGCTGTTGTCCTGCGTAGTTTGCTCCATTGGATGAATAGGGGTGGTGACACTCCGTATTCTTAATTCGTCACAACACGGAAAAAGCTTTTGTTAGCCATTCTTGAATTATTTGTTTACGTGTTTGTGTTTTCTAAAAATGCAACATAATTGATGATTTTTAACCGATTTAAAATAGCAAGCACAAGAATTCGTCAACATAAACGTACGTGGTATGTGTAGTAACAATTTTACCACGTACGTTTGTCTTGCTAGTAGTTCCATGAAAATATAGACTTATTATAGATATTATAGACCTAAATAGAAACTAAATAAAAGATACTAGTTATTATTCTTATTAACGCCTGTGTACAAGTGTTATCGATAAAAAAACCATATTGATGTGAATATATTTACTTATTATAGTTTTATTTTTAACAATACAAACTTAATATTTATATCCTGAACAAAATCCTTGGAGCGGCTTTTCCTCGCTTGTTACAAAACGCATGCACACCCTACTCTATAACTAAGATAGTTCACTTCATTAATGACATTTTATTGCGGCATAATTACACCAACTTATGGCAAAATTAGTCACTTATGAAACCCATTTATGACAAATAAGTCACTTATGATAAAATGGGTCACTTATTAACTTTTACTTATAATGAAATGACATATCATGACAATCATGATAATATGGGTGACTTATTAAATTCATAAGTCACTTACTAAACGCACTTATGACAAAATGGCTTACATTATTAAACAGATGCTTACCGTAGTTGCCATATGATCATAAATAGGGGAAATACTGGTCATAAAGTAAATTTGTATTTTTTTTATTTGGAGATTAAAGTGACCCAACAGAATCTATGCCGCAATTAATGTTAAAAAAAGTGAACTTTCTTAAAGCTGATACCATATAACTGGATCAGCAGTATCCTGTAGGAAGCCAGGAAAAGGAACGCCCAAAGTTTCTTCAACCATTTTGTGATTGTATGTATTTTTTAAATTAATAATAAAGGGCGGTTTCTTTACCTCGCTTGTTACAGGAGTACGGACGTCCACGGAGATTGTGACGAGGCACTTTATTGACATGGACCATGGTATACCGCTGAACATCCACGCGAGACCCCGCCTGGTCGGCAGGAGACCGAACGCAATTGTAAACATAGAGACTGATGTGTTCCAAGAGAAGTCTTACAAGCAGTACTCTTCGCAGCATCTAAGGGATGCTCTCATTGCTGTCAAAAAAGGCTACTCGGTTTATGCAGCATCTAATAAGTATGGGGTCCCGAGGAAAACTTTGAGAAATTGGATGGAAAAGTATGATATAAAAAGCCAGTATTCGAAAGGTAGACGCGGAGCCAGAACCCAGATCTTAGATCCGTTAGATCTTATGGTTGAAACCAGGTCTGAGAAGTATGAAGAATCGCTGTGAAGAGGGTCGTGTTGAGTCAAATTATTTGTAACTTGAATCCGTGTGGTGACGGATTAAGAATACAGAGTGTCACCACCCCTATTCATCCCGTGGGTGTCGTAAGAGGCGACTAAGGGAGCGAAATACGCAGGACACCAACACTGCAGAGAGAAGGAAAACTTGACACAAACCCTATACCAACCCGTCTGGCCAGCGTGGTATAGTAGGCCAAAACCTCCTTTCTAAGGAGAGGCCTATGTCCAGCAGTGGACTGTTAAAGGCTGTTGATGATGATGATGATGATTTGTAACTTGCCAAATCTAGGGTTTAAGAGATGATGTATGGTGAAGTTTTTTAAGTCATTGTAATATAGAAACTTTTTTAATCAAAGCCTGTTTCACAAAGTCTGAAAAAGTTTGAATGCGGCCATGTATCAAATATCAAAACATGGTGTAGAGTTCAGGCTTGTGTTGTTATATGCCTCTCTGTTTCCTGACCGCACAAAAATAACTCTTAAACATAAACAGATTTTGTTTTTAAAAAAGCAGTTTTAACAAAATTTGGCGTGAGTCTGACCACAGATGGCGCTTCTATGTATAAAGCAGTACCTATATCTAATAAAAATTAAATCCTGTTACTTGATAAGCGTATAACTTGAACGGCTGGACCGATTCAAGTAATTCTCTGATAATAAGTTTTCCAGGCAAATAGAGAAATCCGGTGAAATTTGAAAATACTTTTTGTTTTTACATAGGTTTCGTGAGTGATATTCATATTTAATAAAGAGTGTATGTTTAGGAGATGCCCCGACGTTTTTCAAACTCGATGGGGCCTTTTTTTAAGGAGGCGTTATCAAAATACCTGTCAGGTAACCTTTTTTATAAATGTATATATAAAATAACTACAGCGCTTAGTATTGTCATGTAATGTGTGTTTATAACTAAAAAAAAATTATGCATACATGACCCATATTCAATTTCGTTCTCTGGGCACAAACGCTGCCAATTTACCTACACTCAATGCAGAATCGGCCAGAACTGCTACGAGGACTTGTCAAATGGTTCTGGGATATAATACAATTATACAACATTTTGTATTGGTATATTTTAAGCAGCTTTTTTCAGTTTTATAATATTTAATAAATATAGTAGCGAAGTTTGTATTTACAGGGAGAATAACGTTAGGAGCCAAAGAAAAAGTTGATTTAAGGAATGTAGGAAATATTTATTTTTACGCTTGGGTTTTATATGTATTTATTAATATGTAGTAGTATGTTTTTATTATTACTAACACCAGTCTTAAAATATATAACTTACGCATTCCGTTTCTAACCTAAACCTATTCCTGGGTCGCAATTCCCAGGCGCTGTCAAAGTCGCATGTGTTGCCCCTATCTATCACGCGGTGGACCCTAAGAACGCTAAAAAATTGGTCCGTGGTCCGTATTCACCTGTTTTTTTTTTGTCAAACATGAATAAGCTGGATTTTTGCCAGATTTTTTAAGGTATAGCGGTAAAAGTGCAAATAAGTCTCCTGATGGTGAATGACTACCGCTGCTTGTGAATACTTCCTACTCAAGAGTCAGTCAGTTCAGGTCAGTTGGAATTACATCGAAAGCCGGCCCATAAGGGTAGAAACATGGCTCTCCAACGGCTGAAATGTCATTCTAATACACTATCATCGTCATCAACAGCCTTTAACAGTCCACTGCTGGATATAGGCCTCTTCTCAGAAACGAGGTTTTCGCCTACTATAGCACGCTGGTCAGAAGGGTTGGTATAGGGTTTGTTTTCATTTCTCAACTCTTCATCGATCGTGATGATATAATTAAAATAAGATATCAATAAGACTTCGTATGCACTCATCAGGTATAGTTGAATGTCAGGCCTGTTGGTCTAGTGGTTAGTGACCCTGACTGCTAAGCCGGAGGTCGTGGGTTCGATTCCCACCCACAACAAATATTGTGTAAAGATTCTGTGTCTGGGTGTAACTTATCCATAATATGTATGTTTTTAAAAATACAAAAGTATGTTTATCAGCAGTGTGGTTACCTTAGTACAGGCTCTGTCTAGTTTGGGATCAGACTGCCGTATGCCGATGTGTAAAGTTATGAATAAGGAATCACGCTTACATATGCACACGCAGTCTTGATGTGGACGGATTACTTGCAAAACGCGGCCGGTCGGAATTAGTTTGGCATCACCAATGTTTCCTCCTCTTGCTCACCCAAAAGTGAACATTGACAGCCTACTGTTCTAAAAGACAGCGAGCTGTCCCCCTCAGTGTTGCCAATCACCCCATCCGAATACGTTCAAATCGATTAGATCTGATGTTCCGCTTCATTAGCTGATATATTTATTTATTTAATTCTTTATGCACAAATTATAACTCACTTGTACAATGGCGGACTTAATGCAACAGGCATTTTCTCCTAGTCAACCTTTGGGTGTTGGAAGTCCCAGTCATCCTGAATATATATAAAATCTTTGTCTTGACCCTCCCAAAATGCCTCTACTGCGGCCATCACTTCACTATTGTCCTCAAATTTGTTGCCCCGGAGGTGTTCTTTGAGCCGAGGAAAGAGGTAGAAGTCACTGGGAGCTAGATCTGGCGAATAGGGAGGGTGTTCGAGCAGTTCGAACCCCGTTTCTTCAATGGCAGCCATCGCAACTGCGGCTTTGTGAGCCGGGGCGTTGTCTTGGTGAAACAGCACTCCAGCGCGCAGTTTACCGCGTCTTTTTGACTTAATAGCTTCTCGCAATCTTCTTATTTGGCCTGCGTAGTAAGAGCCTGTTATAGTGGCCCCCTTTTCCAAATATTCCACCATAATAATTCCTTCTGCATCCCAGAAAACAGACGCCATAACCTTTCCCGCTGAACTTGACACTTTGAATTTCTTCGGCGTTGGTGAGGAAGCTCGTTTCCAAGTCATTGATTGTTGTTTGGTTTCGGGATCAAAGTGGTGGATCCAGGTCTCGTCCATGGTCACAAAACGCGACAAAAAAAAATCTTTATCATCCTGGAACTTTTGAAGATTCACCCTCGAAATGTCGACTCGTTTCTTTTTTTGCTCGTCGGTTAACATTCTCGGTACCCAACGCGCAGAGACCTTTTTCATATGCATTTTGTTGACAATGATTTTTTGAACGCTGCCATAGGAGATCCCTGTGACCTCAGCTACATGCCTTACGGTCACCCTTCGATCGGCCAACACGATATCTTCCACTTTTTTGACGTTTTCTCCAGTAAGGGACGTGGAAGGGCGTCCCTCGCGATGTTCATCTTCAGTGGAGGTTCTGCCCAGCTTAAATTCCTTTGCCCAGCGTGCGACTGTGGAATATGGAGGAGCAGACTCCCCCAATGTTTCCTCTAAGTCGCTGTGTATGTCTTTGGTAGACATTTTTTTCAGGCAGAGGTACTTGATGACAGCTCTTATTTCATTTTTCTCCATTTTGATGTTTTCTCTTCGACAGTTCGTATTCAAATGAATGTATCTCCCGGTAATGGTGTCCTATTTATACATTTTTTTGAAGCTGAAGTAGTGGATATATAAGCAAGCAGAAAAAAAAAAATTGGGTTTTTGTGCGTTCTAGAAATACTCGATTATCATTACTTATTGATCACCCCTCGTATATACCCAAGCGTAAACATAAATAGTTATAATATTGTGTCTAGTCTAATCAATAAATTGTATTTAAACTAATTAATAGGTATATACTGAAACTCAGCAAACATATTAGTATATAATTTACAAACGAAAATATATAACTGCTTCAACCCGGATATACCAAGTGCCAACGTGACTTAAATATAAAATAAAACATTAAACACGAATTTAGTTAGTTAATTTCATTTAGTTGGTTAGTCACACAAACACTAAGATTTTTCGTTCTCATAATAAAAATGTAATTATTTTATATTAAATATTATTATATAAATTATGGAAATGTATGTTATAATATTTTATTTTTGGTGTTGTTTGTAAACAGCGCATTCCTTAGTTCGTTGATGAAATTGATAAATGAAAGTAGTTCAAATTAACCGACTAAAATATTTTATCCAGTCGTCTACATAATAATATTAATAATAAGTAAAGTAATCATATTTTAGTTCCTAAATCGCCAAAGTAGTGTTAACCAGTCCAAACTTTTAGTAAATTGTTTTGATTTTGTTTTTCTTTGTTAATTATTTTTAAATGTGTTGTTGATTTTTTAATGGCAACAATTTTAAGATGTAATTAAATGTACTTATTTTTGTGATTAATTCAATTATTATTTAAATAAATATTATTTGAGATATACATTTCTTTGGTACGGATATTTTTATAATTATTACGTAGTGTGGTTTAGTAATGTTTTTTTTTTATATTTTAGGATTACAAGTTAAATAGATAAAATACTGAATATTTTAAGTATTTTAAGCATTTTATGTATAAGCAGAAATTAAGATGGATCTAAAAATACATACATACACTCAAGCTTAATTTCGGTCTAGGGTAGGCAGAGATCCTGACATATAATCGCTCTTCCTAAATTCAACAGGCTTTTTATACCCGCTCGCGAGTAAAGAATACCGATTAAGGTGCTATCTCGCCAGCAAGAAAGTTGATATGAAACTATAATTAAATCCAAAATGTACCAAAGCGTTTAAGGAAAATATGTTTTTTAGGGTAAATCCATCGTAAAGAGTTTTCATCCTTCCCCTTTATGGGGTAAACATAACGATCCTAAAATATAATAACACATTTCTGCTACACGTAGTATACGAGACGATAATTAGTTAAAATATTGATGTAGAATTAAGCCTATATTTTTATTGAGGCGTATTAGTCATTAAAAATAAAATAATTTATATTCAAAGCGATTCCGCATCACTGTTAAGCCAACCGTTATACCAGAAAACTATGCAAAACTGTTATATTGTTTCACGTGAAACGCCGTGAAGAAACTGGGGTATAATATGGTAGTTGACTGACCAGTCAAAGTATTTATTAAACGCCAAAACCATTACGTTAAGTAAACG